GGCTCCGGTGCGGGCGGGGGGAAGAGGAGGAGGAGGAGGGGGCGGCTCATGAATATGCATGAGGGGGCGGCACTGAGGAGGAGGAAGAGACCTTTCTCCCCAACCACCGTTTGGCACTAAATTCAAGTCTCGCGCGCCTGGGTTCCGTTTCGGCCAGAGGAAGGGAACCCAAGAGTCCAGGATGCCATCACAGCAAGAGGAGGGAACCCAGGCGTCCGAGTAGCTGCACACAGGGCTGGGAAGGATCCCAGGTGGCCGGGGTCCCCCCACCTCTTAGAATGGAACCTGGGCGTCCGAGCCCACACCTACAGCGCTGAGACTAAACCCAAGCGTCTGGGCTCCCATCGCTGCTGTAAGAGAGAACCCAGGAGTCCGAGCTCCCTTGAGAGCTATAGAGGGAACACAGCTGTCTGAGCCCCCACCCACAGCGCTGGGACAAAACCCAGGCATCCCGGTTCCCGTCACAGCTCTAGAGAGGAACCCAGGCGTCCAAGCAGCCATGAGGGCTGTAGGAGGGACCGCAGGTGTCCGGGCTGCCCCCACCTCCCCTTGACTGGAACCCAGTCGTCCGAGTCTCCACCCACAGAGCTGGGACGGAACCCAGGTGTTCAGCTTTCCATGCTAGCTATAGGAGGGAACCCAGGTGTCCAAGCCCCCATCACAGGCTTAGCAGGGAACCCAGGCGTCCGGGCTGGTGCGCGGGTGGGAGCAGGGGACACTAGGAGCCCAGACGCCTGAGTTCCTTGGGCGGGGGTCCGGGAAATGCGGCTAGTTCTGAACAGGTGAGGCTGGAGGGGGTGGGGCCTGTCCGCTGCGTCAGCCCAGCGCCAATCAGTGCCTTAGCCTCAGTCACCGCCTAGCGCTCCCCCACAAAACCCAGGCATCTGAGCTTCTAGACCTCTCTTAGAGAAGTCTCAGACGCCTGGGTTCCGTTTCGACCAGAAAAAGGGAACCCAAGAGTCCAGGATGCCATCACAGTAAAAGAAGGGAACCCAGGCGTCCGAGTGGCTGCCCACAGGGCTAGAAATGATCCCAGGTGCCCGGGGTCCCCCCACCTCTTAGAATGGGACCTAGGCGTCCAAGCCCCCACCTACAGCGCTGAACTGTACCTGGACTGAACCAGGCGTCTGGGCTCTTCCCCCAAATCTCCCCATAGTAACTGTGTGCGCCCCTACTACCGTAATTAACATCCCCATGCAGAACGGCTCCCATAATGCCCCTATTAGCGTTCTCTTGGAAGAAGAGGGGGAATACCATACTATCCGGGATTAGGCCGGCACTACGGAAAGGGGAGGCTACCGCAATTACTAGGATAGGAGCCCCGCGCACCACCATGTGGAGGAATGCAATGTGTAATTTATGCCACCACCCCCCGTAATACTCCTAATAGTCCCCATCTGAAGGTGGCGGTGGGTAGATAGTACCATAGTTCTCTTAATATACCTGCCGTTGTAAATACAGAGCGGAGATAGTGCCGTAATACTCCTAATACACCTTCCATCGTTAATGGGAGGGAGGGAGGAAAGGTGGTACTGTAATTCTTTTAATATACCCGGCATCGTAAACTGGAGGAGAGGTGGTACCAGGAGGCTACTCCTTTTGTAAATCGGAGGGGGGTGGTGCCACAATACTCGTAATATACCCGCATTCATTACGTGGAGGGAGAAGTGGTACCGCAATGCTTCTAATTGGAGGAGGGGAGATAATACTATACCGCTTCTAATATAGCCCCCATCCTAAATTGAAGGAGGGGAGATGCTGCTATAATGCTCCTAATATACCTGCTTTAACTGGCCAGAGGGGAGGTGGTACCTGAATGCTTATAATATATCCGCCCTCGCTAATTGGTGGGAGTGAAGGTGGTACTGCAGTGCTTCTAATATCCCCGCCATAAGAAACTGGGGGAAGGGAGATGGTACCACAATGCTCCTAATATTCC